ATGGTCTGGTCAAGGAATGACAGACGCTTACGAAAGCTGCTGCATGTTCAAGTCCCCGGGCTGACACATCCACCATCTGGCTCCTTGTGCAGTGACAGGCTCCCTTCTTAAAGCAAGTCAGGCCCAGCCCCTGCACAGCTGCCCAAGGGGACAGGCACAAGAAGCTGTCTTCCCGCTCAGTGCAGGAGCTGAGCACAATCAGCGTGTCGTCAAGGAATGACAGACGCTTACGAAAGCTGCTGCATGTTCAAGTCCCCGGGCTGACACATCCACCATCTGGCTCCTTGTGCAGTGACAGGCTCCCTTCTTAAAGCAAGTCAGGCCCAGCCCCTGCACAGCTGCCCAAGGGGACAGGCACAAGAAGCTGTCTTCCCGCTCAGTGCAGGAGCTGAGCACAATCAGCGTGTCTGTGCCTTCCCAAGAAAGGAAGCAGCAGGCACATCCTCCCTGAGGTACAGGGCTTTCCAGAGACCCCCCCAGGGCAGAGCAGTGCTGCACTGCCCCAAAGGACCTCCCTCATTGCAGCGCTTTCGACTCAACCCCCAGGGAATTCCAGCTGCCGCTGTGCTGAGATCAGGGAGCAGCACCCCTGGCCAGACTCACACCTGGGTGTCTCTTAGAAGCGTGCGTGAGGAAGAGCAATGCTGGGCATTAGTGCCATGCTGCATCTGCGTCCCCAGGACCTTTCAATGCCGTGTTTTGCTGCTTGGTAACTTTCTGTCTTGCATTAAACCCGGTGCCTTGCTTCTGACTTGAAAAGATTTCTTTCAAAGTGTGCTGTGAGCTACGGGGCTGCTTCCCTAGGTGGGGCGGGGGTCACACCCCAAACAACGGGGCTCATGCGTTCCCTAGGCAACCCAGGCACAGCTGCAAAGCAGGAGCTGCTTTAGGAGACCTCTGTTGTACAGGGAATAGCAGCGCTGGAGTCCAGGCTCCCTGACTCCTTGGTGCCCTTTCTGAGGCAGCCACAGATGCTGCCAACTGGGTCCTGGATTTTAATGCTCTAATCAGGTGCCTTTCCAAACCAGTCTCGCATTGGGAGAGTAGCAGGGCTCCTTGGCCTCCTGCTGTCAGGGGACTTTTTTACCTTTAGTTAACTAGCACAAGGGGCGGGGCTCCTCGCTGTCCATTGGCCCAGGAGAGGGTGGGGATTTGATGCAGGCCTCGCACTCTTTTATTATTTCTCCAGATTCAGGAGGGGTAATAAGGTCCCATGGGAAGGGGTACAAAGTTCAGGAGCACTGGAGACAATACTAAAGGAACAGCAGCAAAGTGCCTAGATGAGAAGGAAGGAGAGGGATAGTGAGCAGCCAATGTGGCTCCATCCACCACACTTTAATGACCCGCCAATCCAAAGGAAATTCCACGAAAGGGGAGCAAGGGCAAGCTGCCAAGGAGGAGCACAAAAGAGCAGCACACAAAGTTAGAAAGGCAAAAGCACAACGTGAGTTACGCCTAGCAAGGGCCATGGAAGGCAAGAAGAAGGGATTCTTCAAACTCATTAGGAGCGAGAGACAGATGCAGAAGAATGGATGTCCCCTGCTTAGCAGGAGAAAAGGCCCTGAAAGCTGATAACCTCAGGAAAGCGACATTTTAATGCATTTTCTGCTTCAGTCTTCACTAAATAGGTTAATGGTGACTGTGGACGAGTCGTGGGGTGCGATCACCCCCTCCCGGGTGGGCAGGGGGGCTCAGCAAACCCCTTCATCCTCTAACCAGGTCCCCGGCTCAGCTCCCCGGTCGGGCGTCCCGTCAGGTGGGTGCGATCACCCCCTCCCTGCCGAGCAGGAGAGGGGGGTTCAGCGGACCCCGTGTCTATGCCCCGCCTTAGCAGGGTGGGGCCTGCGCCCCTAGTCTGGTGCCTCAAAGGGCCGATACCCCTGGCCCACCCTACCATCCGGTCGCCACGGTTCACTGGTTTGTGCGTGCTCCGATTCTGACAGGAGTTGCGTCTTCAAGGGGGATGGAGAGGGGGACCCGAGCCCTCCCTGTTGTCGGATCCCAGCCTGGGGCCCTAAGTGCAGGGGCTCGCTCTTGCCCCTGCACAGCAGACGGGGGTGTTTCCTCCTGTAACCCATCCGCCCGCGGTCGCCAAAAGGCCCCCGCCCTGGGCTCCTTCCTCCCCTCCCCATGTCCCTCGAGTACCCTTGCCGTTCCCCGAGGCCTACGAGGATTCAGGGATCTGGGTTCAGGGTTGCTCCGCCGACATCCCGCAGGTCTGTTTGTTCCTGCGGATCTTGTCCTGGCCGAGCCGCTCTTTCCGTGGGCCGCGGGGTTTGTCCTCGTCGTCCTC